AACGCTTTGGTCCAGACAGGAATGTCTTGATATCTGTTAGATGGATCACCATAAAAAATTGTACAGGCATGAATGGTCCTCAGAGGATGGAGCCTGCTGAATGTGGCAGTTGGTTAACTTTTCAGATCAGTAGTTTAGGGAGAACATGCAAACTCCACACAGAAAGGCATCAGATCAGCCGGGGCTCCAACCGAGCCGCTGTGCATCTAGCTTAAGTACAGACTAAGAAAACTGTTAACGTGACTAGATTCTTCACATTATGTTGTCCTTCTTTGTTGTACATCCTTTGAGATTTGGACTGTTGACCAAACAAAACATTTGTTTCTAGATTCCAAGTCTTGAATTTTGACATTATATTGATTAAATAAATGGTAAAGTAAAAATGAACTGACAAAATGCACTGCAGCCCTATTAGTGCATGGATGTAAGCATGCTGACAGTTTATTTTCTCCATCAGAAACACCAGCTGGGATGATGGACACCTCTGTCAGGCGAGCACCAGTAGATGCAGGTGGCAGGCATGTGCGAGCATACGCCAGACGAGCCAACAGTGAGGACAGCATCGAGGTGCTGAGCACCACCGAGTCCATTTGTCCTGACGACCTCACCGCCATAACCGAGGAGGAAGCAGAGCAGCAGCCTCTGAGTAACGGCTTTGACAATCAGGTGGAGACACTGACGGAGTGTACATCTGAAAATGGAGAAGTGGAGAATGTGAATGGAACTGTTTTAGGAAATGAAAATGTTCAGGAGGAAAAAGGCTGTGACACAGAAGAGTCCTCTAGACTAACAGTTATCAAAGAGGAACCTGTCACTGAGCGTCTGAAGAAGAATCATGTCGATGAAGACAACAGTCCTGAGGCGACACAAGGTGATACATCCGCAACAGCATTCATTTCTAAAGCCCAATTTAAACGTGATTTATGGCTACACACAAACATCATTAATCCACGCTGGAGTTTACACATTGTTTTGATGCATATTTTCATCCACAATAAACTGAGGCCACTGCTCATTATTGGTAAGCTCTGTTTTTCAGTGTGCAAACGAGCAGAAGGCCAAAATAGAGAGAGACAAAAGTTGTTTTCAAATGTATTCTTAGTTTAGAGTGAAGTGGATAGTGCAGTTATTCCTCTGTATTTAATTCTGAGCGTTCAGTGAAACATTTTGAAATACCTTTTACAAACACAAATCTAGATGAACAAGCAAAAATGATTTTGCATGTTTCCTGTGATCCACCTCACAGTGGTACCTTTACTCTTTCTCACATGTTCATGGTCTGTGCACTATGAAGTTTCCCATGGCATTTGCAGAATGGAGGCACAGAAATAACACCATGAAGGAAAGTCTTCAGTAGAATAGGTGCACTTAAAATTATACTTGAAATAGGTCCCCAAGAGGATTTAGTGGGTCTTTAGGACCATATAATAGAAAATATGTAATGGTGAGGTGGAGAGAGGGAGGGGAAAACTCCATACACTGTATACCTGGAATTCAGACTTGGAGAAAAGTGATGTATAAAGTAGCAGGTACTTAAAGATGTGGAGTGTTGAAAGTCAGATTAACTGACTAAAAGGTAGGAATGTTTCCAATGATCTTATAAGGTGAAATTAAATCATATACTCTAATTATCCTCAAATTATTACAAGCAATAAATCATTAGTTCCCAGTTTTTGGCTTGTGATATTTCATAGTCAAGCGATTCCTAAACCCGACCTCTTATCACAGGGTGGGTGTGAACTAGAAAAAGCAATATTTTGAGAAAAGTGTATGACGTCTTCTGTGACTCCTCAGATTTTTGTTTTTTATTAATTACTGAAGTGATTTACTAATCTCATTGTCAATAAGATTTAACAAAGCTCTTTTAACTGCACAGTTGAAGAAGCAGTGGAAGTGACGCCTAACGGATCTGGAGCCCACCAGCCGGTGCAGGCTGTGCCACACCTCCACATGAATTCTGCTCCGCTTGTAATGGTGGAAGTTGAACAGCAGTCTCCGCCCTGCATCCCTCTGAGGCTGCTGAGCATTGACGAAGTGTCCGACTGCACCAGCTTCACCAGCTCGTCAGACCCGCCCTCTCCCACCCAGCTTATCCACAGCACCACCTGTTTAGACAAGAGGAAGAGAAGGAAGGCTGCGCTCACAGCCCTCAGGTTCATCAAACTCAACTCATTCTCCCAGCATGCTGTGTTCTGTCTCCTGAGCGGCCGGCCGCTGGTTGTCATCGGAGACGAGAGTTTGGTTAGGAAGCTGGTGGATGGTTTGAGTCTGTTCCTGCCTGCTCCTGGTCCTGATGGAAACGCTGTGCTGCCATGTTTGACCATGCCACTTCAGCTGACCGACCTGCTCACCTGGAGACTGATAGGAATACATAGGTATGCCATAACACACAGTCACATGATCGTTACCTGTCAGCTCTCATCTTATTTACAAAATGATTTGCATGTTTAGTGGCCCTGCCATCCATTCCTGGGTGGCTTTGTTCTTAATATATCTTTTGATAGCCAGAGCTACAACCAGCTAGAGGGCCATGTATTTTTCCCAGGAGTCACATTTATTTAACAGGGACCGTGCTAGATTTAGCCCTCAGGCAGATGTTAGCCACTCTGCTGCTCTCATCATCTTCAGTCATTTAGAAAAGAAGTTCTTTTGAATGATTTACAGAATCAGTATTTAAGGAAAACGGTTTGAACTTCTGATTCTCTGTTGCTATTTGAAGACGGTCAGAGCTTCTGCACACACGTTAAGTATCAAAATACTTTATTGTGCAGTTTCCCCGTCCTGTTGAAATGATTGTGATGATCAGTTAAGTCAGAGGAACCGGTTTCAGTGTTTTTCTTGTTTAGATCTTTGTATTCTACAGCATTCATTTATAATCATCTGGGTTTGTCAGATTTGAGATCAAGATCTTTTTTTGACATTTCAAATGAGCTGCTATCATTTGTCTTTACATATGAAGTATATTTAAGGTCACTTCAAAATATTTAGACCCCTTCACTTTTTGCTGATTTTTTTTCTAATAGACAAAACTACCATTTTTGCCCATCAGTCTACACTCATTGTGGAACCTCCTGTAGTCTTCTTGGGTATATCTCTACAAGCTTTACACACCAGGATCTAGGCAGTTAAAATTAAATCTACAACACGTGCACAAAGTGAAGGGCTTTAACATTTCTGCAGCTAAGACAACTACATGTTATGGTGATTTTAACATTCAAAAACACACCATTGAACACAGATTTTATTCAGAAGGCCCTGAATGAGAACAGCAAAAGTAAAAGGACACGTAGCAAAAAGCATTTCCATCGGTGCCCCCCCCCAACTGGTCTAAAGAAAAGAAATGAATGCAATTTTAAAACATACTAAAGGCACGGTCTTACAATAACAAGTGTCTTTTTTTTTCCTTAACCAGATCAGCCTCCAGCTCGTCTTCCGGCATTATTCTCTCTGTGGCTCGCTACAGTCGATATCTGGCCCTGCTGGACCTGGACCAGAGGACTCTGCGCTGTCCTACGTACTCGGGTTCTCTCATCCGCAGACTGGCTGATCCTCACACTGGCATCAGCCGAGGCATCACCTACCTGCTGCATGTGCAGAGCTGCCTGACTCTGCTGACAAACCAGGCTCTGCTGTACACGTTTAACCCTGCTCTACAACGCCCAAACACCGCCGGAGGCGACGATGGCACAGAAGAGGGTTTTTTATTCAGACGAGGATACTGCAGCAGTGAACATGACATGAGAGTGATGAATTTCCTGTCTGACCTCATTAAACAGCGCCATGCAGGACGTGGACCACCGGTTTTAAGGTTCTCTTACAGTTCAGCGCATCTCCACCGAAATACGTACGCAACATAGAATCTAAAAGACAATGGACGAACAAAGTTAAATACTTGATACAAAATGTAGTGATCTCTCTAAATTTGATTCAGATGAAGAACATGTTTTTAGCTGCAGTGTTAAATGTTAGTATGTATGTATGGATGGACGATTCCTGCTCCATCATCCAGGTTATTTATCTATGGAGCGCACAAACCGCATTTCATGTGATAGTTTGCAACTCAGTATTCAGTGATAGTTGTCAGTATACATGGAGCCTAGGTAGCTACTTTGAGGCCCGTCTACAGGGTGGGTGAACGATGGAGCCTAGAGTGCAACTCGCTAGGCTCCATGTACTGAGCAGCAGTTGGAAAGCTTTCAGAACCTGCTTGAGAAACACTGGGTTTTTCAGATTTCATCAGCAGACTATTTACATAGTTCTGCCAGCACATCCAGCAGAAGGCTAGGTAGCAAAATGAACTGCTAACAGCTGATTTGGTGTACTTAGTGTTCCAAAATGTAAACAAATAGGCGCCCACACTGTATCCATGGTGACATTACATGGTAAAAGTTTAATGTGCTCAGATTTTTCCTCTACAAGAAACAGTAAGTATAATGTAGCCATAGATACAACTTCAGCCTGTTTTTAACCTGTACACTTTGGACATCTCAGTGTGCCGAAGTAGCCATTAATGGTTCACGTTTGCTTTGCACCACTGGATATACTGACAACTACAGTATCACTGAATTACTCCAATATAGAATTCGTTAAGACTTGAGCTTCAGGCAAGTTCTGCAGCGTTCCAACCTGTGTTCTTGTAATTACAAGAAAAATATCATAATCACGAGATCTGGATCTCGTCATTCTGACTTGAAACCCAGAATTCTGACTTTAAGGCAGAGGTGCGCCAGGCTGACACCCAAGAACTGGCTCAGAATTCTAAGATTACAGTCAGAATGCTGAAGAAATTCAGGATTCTGATTTTATTCTCAGAACTCAGACTGTAAAACACACTGGAAGCAAGATGTGAGCGGCGCGTTTTGACTTTGAACTCGTCAGAACAGCTGTCTGTCAGCAGAGGGACAGAGTCTTTACCAAGCCAAACAACAACACAAGTGTACTGGACAAAAGGTTCTCATTTAAGAACAGTAGGAAGAAATGGCGTTTTTATGTAGCCTGTGGATTTATCCGTTTCCCCCCCACTTGTTATGGAGGGAGAAAGTGAAACTCGAGCAGCCTGATCAGTTGTAACAGATACCACTAGAAATAAAAAACAGGATTTGTGATTTTTAAACAGCCGACACAGCAGAGGGGGTAAAACTATAGACGTGAATCATAAAGAGAACAAGGGTTTTATAGTATTTGTAGAAACATGACAAGGAGCCCCAACTAGGCACTTTGTCACAAATTATAAAATTAAGAAATTACCTTAAATTAATTGATACTTCATTTTTTTATAAACTTTGAAATTAAACAGGAAAACTCAATATACTGTCAGGTTAAGGTATTGAAGTAAAAAGCATAGAGTCGTATAAATCTGGGCCTCAGAGTACTTCACATCTGTAGTACAGATACAAGTCTTGAGTAACTGTACTTTTGTTAGTGTTGCTTCCCATCACTGTTCTATTGCACAGTAGATTCAGACCTCAGTCGAACCCCAGCAGGTTTCAGTTCAACCTCATACAACGGTAACCAGTTTTTGTTCCTAGTGGTGGAAAGGAACTATATTTATTTTTGAGATACTTGTAATTTTTATGCCACTAGATTCATCTGACAGTTTATCAAACATAAAAGCCATCATGTGCTGTGACAGCTAAAGCTACCTAGCAGCATCCTAAAGTAGTTCCAGTGAAGTAATGGTTACACACATTTGGTATTTTAAGTATATTTTAATGCCAACATTTCTGTACTTGTATGCATGACCTTTACTTGTAGCAGAATGGTTCTACACAGTGTTATTGGTACTTTTACTTAAATAAAATATCTGTGGATGTTATTGTTGCAGTGTTTTCATAATTCTAAACCGCAGCAGATACAAAAACAGAGCAATGGCCTCTTCATGTTAAAACATCATAGGTTTAGATTTGTTACTTTACTGCTGCAAAAGGTGCATGTACTTTCTCTGAAAATAGTCACATTTTACACTGGGATATAGAACTTTAGACATTTATTTACCAGTGTTAATATAACTGCCTCTTATGAACAGTTTTATAAAAGTGACTCAACAAAACAGCCTTCAGTCAAAGATCTCAGTGCAGAATGTTGTACACAGTACCAGCACACTGGACGACAAAAAAAAAGGTGTGAGAAACCAACTAAAAGTGTCTGTCGTGTTCTTACATGAGTAACTGAACGTGTTTGGAGTCTCTGCACTGTACTGATGACACCTGGCGTGGAGGTTTAATCTGTCGCCTGATGAAGCTGACCCTGCATAAACGGAGCGACAGTGCAGCGACTAGTGTTTGACATCGTATGATCAGGCCAAGCTGCAACCAAAGAACAAAACAAAGAACATTTCATTTGGACCTTTTCGATATAAAGTCCCAAATTTAATTAGTTATAATTGAGCTAGTAATGTGAAGTTACATTTACTGCTACTTGTGCTGAAATGAAACTGATTAACTCATTAGGGCAGTGAGCCACACTATCCTTTGATGCACTTGAATATGAATTGTTGCATCGGCACCAAGACTGTGCTCATTAAACAGATCAGCTAAAGGCTAGATAGGACTGATCAGCGTTACAATATCTGGCACCGTCTTTACAACAGTGGTCTATAGCGTTTATGGCCATGGTTCCCAAATTGGGGCCCATTAGGATAGTGAGGTGCTTTGTCACTTTTCACAATGAAAACTCCACAGGGTACCTTAATTTGCAGCCTCTTGCAAAGAAAAATATACTCAATAAAATTAAAAGTGGATTCTGAAAGGGAGGAACAGCTAAGACAGTTGGGAAACTTACTGTACAGCTGACTCTGAGATGAGGCTTCCACTTGGGAGAAGTGGCGTTTCACAGTAGCTGGACTGTCTGCAGGAAGAAACAATACAGAAGGTTAAAATCGGCACCGCAGCATGCACGACATATGATCACCACACGTGACAGCAACTTACTGTAGGTGCTGATTGCCACAACATCAGGTGAGAACAAGGGGGAAAAACGCAACAGATCAGATCCAACATACTCTTTAAAAATCCACTAGGACAGATTAAAAGTTAACGCTGACCTTTCCTTGATCAAAACATTGTGGTGCTTTTGCTGCAGAAGTTATAAATGAAATACAACTCACTGGTCCCAGTTCTCCGTTGAAGAAAACACAGTGGGTACAATGGTGTGAAGAACAGGTAATTTATCCCCGTCTGTTAGAAAAACAGATACAAAGAGCTTTTGACCACTAGTAGCACTAATGTTTTCCTAGTGCTGAATTTCATGCTGAGAAATAAAACCAAAACATCTTTGCAAGAAAGAAATATTTAATAAAGTATTTAATCCGAGTGCTGCTCTGATGAACTCACCTAGTTGTAATTGTTCAACTCCAGATAAGGATGTTGAAAGTTTAGTACATGGTTCATTATCAAGAGAAGATGGCCACACACCTGCTGTGTTTTCCATCTCCGATGAGAGCTCCTGCATGAAGCCATTGAGGCGTTCTGCGTTGGAAGACAAAGTGGCCCACAGCCACTCGAGAGCCCACACATTCCCCTGAGACAGAAAGATCATCAGGTTTAGATACTCGCTTCACCTCCGTGGCTCCTCACAGTACATTCAGAAGAAGCATGACAACATACATGTGTTGCATTCACCACAGCCTCCATTATGAAAAACATTCCACGTGAGTAAATTAATCTTTGTCGTTAACAGGGATGTTCTGATCCAGTCTTTTTTTGGCCCTGATAGCAAATACTGGACTCTAGTTCTATGGATCGGCTCTATTCTAGTCGATACCAATACCTAGTATCAGCCCGGTACATCTGTAGTTGTTAAAAAATAAAAAATAAAGTATTTTTAAGCCCAGCATGTAAATAACTTGGGCGACTTTAGGATTGGTGTTTCTTTTTTAATATCTCAGAAATGAGGAGTCAAAACAGCAGGGTTTTAGCACCGAGTCAATAAAAAGTGCATGTTTTGCCACTCTAATGCTTAAAGTCTATTATTTTTATTACTGTAGTCCACAACAAATCATGACTTTTGGCAAGATACTGCAAGCTGGAAGTGCTCAGTCACTAAGTCAACTGTTTGGATTTAATGTGCACAAACAGGAAATGACATCCATGATGGAAAGAGAGGAAAATACCTTATAAGTGTTGAGCACAGGGAGAGCTGGACACAGAGGACCACTAAGGATTCTCAGTCCTAAAGCTCCTGTCACCAGCAACAACAAGGCCTGGTCTGGGTACACCTGTACACACAGACACAAACATATCTACAGTTTATTGCCACTTGTGACATCCATGAGAGTGAATGTTTGAAACATACTCACGTCCTGAAAAAATCGTGGGAGATGTATGTTCAACCTGTCATGGTTCTGCAGTATTGAATTCACAACAGCCTTTGCTTCCTGAAGTTGGGCAGAAAATACACAATGAAAACAACTGCTACTATGGAAAGTAATAAAAACAAAAGAAGCTGTAAATCAACCAGAAACAAGTACGTGTAGAAACTGTGGGTGCGGTGCTGGCAGAGCGGTGAGGGAACCACAAGGCGAGTTGACGATTGTGAGAAAACGGGTCCAACACCGAGACTGGATCAGAAAAACATCAGTCACACATTGGAACAAGCTGGATAAGGCAAACTGCATTTATACAGAGTTTAGACATGCGAGGAAACTCAGTGTGATTTAAAAATTAAAGGGAAGGAGCCATTCGCAATTACAAAAACAAAAACAAATTAAGAGTTAGATTACTGTCCTGTAATAACCTTATTCATTGAGCCCTGTGTGTGAGGATGCAGGACACATTAGCTTGGTGGTGGTGGCAGCACTGGCGGGGTGTTTGTATTTTCACTTACTATAATACCAGACCATGACAACAGTAATTAAGAACCAACAGAAACAAGAAATATTCATTACAAGAAAACAGGTTTGTGCGCATCTCAAGCCCTGAAAGGCAGCAGCTGGGAACATGTAAACAAACAGAACAGTGACAGACGACCTGAGAAGTCTGGGTAGCTCCTGTCACATCCTGAGCTTAAGGCTTTTCACTGCTTATAAACAGAGAGACCCTTTAAAAAATACCAGAAAAGGACTTTAAATGACCAGACTTTGATAAGAAACCTCTCATTTTTAAAATATATACACCTAACGTTGCGTTTAGATATCATGCAAATTGATGTTTGCATTAAGGACAATGGGATTTCTAAAGAACAAACTGAGCAGCAACCAGAGTTGGAGACTTACATCGATAACGACAGCCGAGCAGCATCTCTGAGCCCTGAGTGCGAACTTCACCAGCTCAATACGTTTCAGCGGCACGGCGTCTACAGAGACAGGAGGGGGTTGACTTCTCATTAGAAAACCCTTTGAGATGGTTTGACATTATAACATATCTCTGCCTGACCTTTAATTGGCTCCCATGTTGCATCAGAGCAACAGAGCTGTGCTGGCTGACTGACCGTCAGATTTGGTGCCGTTGCGGTCTCAAAGATGTGGAGGTAAACGAGAAAGAGCGACGGCGTGAGACGGGAGGCGGGGCCATTCAGTGAGGGGAACAAACTGTGCACAGCTGACATCAAGTCTCTATCCATGCACTTGAAGAAAGGGATGAGGTCTTTAAGCTGCTGCAAGCCACTGGAGACATAAACCAAATGCAGGAAGTCAACAACATGACATCACCGATCATGTCCAAACAGATATACCTTCAATATGCATGGGATTTTATTGTGAAAGGTACAAGAGTGAGATTAGTCTAATAGCCGTTTTAAAAAAAATAAGGCTGTGTGAACATATATTTACTTTCCTTTTGTATTTTAATGTTTTAGAAGCAGCACGTCTAAAAATACCATCAGGTATCTCCTGCATTACTGACAAACAAAACAAAAACAACTAAACTAAGGTGAATTTAAACAGAATGTACATTTATACTGACTAATCTGGTGGTTGACTTCTTGAATCAAATAACTGTCCCAGAAATAGTGAAAAATGCACCTGATAATTTGCAGGGTGATCAAATTACTTGTTTTGTCAGACCGTCAGTCCAAATCCTGATGATACGTAGAGGTCGACAGACGGGAGGCGGGGCCATTCAGTGAGGGGAACAAACTGTGCACAGCTGACATCAAGTCTCTATCCATGCACTTGAAGAAAGGGATGAGGTCTTTAAGCTGCTGCAAGCCACTGGAGACATAAACCAATTGCAGGAATATTCAGTTTACTATCACAGTAGACTACGATCTACAGCAGTCTACTCAGAAGCAGACCAAATAAAGAGCCAAAACACAATCCATTACTTAATTGCAACATTTATCAGCAAATATTTTAATTAATCATTTGTAAATTTGTCTAAAAATGCCCAACAAGAGTCTGTATGATTGAAGAAAAAAAAAATTTACTTCAACAACTAAGACTCAGTTTTTCTATCAAATGAGTAAATGGTTTCAGACCTAATGTGCAACAAAGGATATATAAAGTTATATTTTTACACTTTTTTGAGAAAAAAAAAGACAATCAACAATAACAAAATACATATATTTATTTTTCTGAAAAATCTTCAGTATTTTTATAGAAGCTTCTGTACCGAAAGTTTACATCATATATAAAATTCAAATCTCTACCCCTCTCTAGGCCGAGGCTTTAAACCAGTATAAGAAGAAAAAGAGATTCCCTCTCAAAAGACAATGCTTAGAAGATAAAGGTCAAATCCAGTATCACTGCTATTTGGCTAAGAACACTCACAGTTTGTGTCCTTCAACCAGGACGACTCGCAGGTAGCGATGCAACTCTCTGTACCTGCAGACACGACACAGCAAAGTATGGCTTTCAAGTCAAATCTGTGTATAGCATACAAGCATGAAATCGTGTGTATATCCAGTGTGTACCTGCGCTGGCGCTGTAGTAGTTCTGTTCTCAGAAGAATCACAGCAAACTGTTCGATTAGGATGTCTTTCTTGCCTTTGTCTTTACGAACGCCCGACACGTTTTGCCCCTTCAGCACAGACATGAGTAGGATGTCATCCCAGGGACGAATACAAAGGCTGAAACACACACAAATGAAGTCATTCAAGCACTTTTCAGTCACTAAAATGCTTTAATGTATAACCTACCTTGGAGATAAACAGGAAAACACGCACAAGCTCTTATGAACAACCGTCTCACAGGGATATCTGAACACACACACACACCTGTTCCTCATGCTCTTCAGCTCAGCGTGGAAATTAAATGTCTTGTAAAAAGCCTGCAGTTTTTGAGCAAACTCTGAAGTCAGATCACCCATCACCATCTGTCTCTGCACTGATACTACAACTCTGGAAAAACCCAAACAGAAGAGGAAGGTGAAAATCCAAATTATTTAGTTACAGATATGACACAAGATGGACTCCTGAGTGCACATTTACCTCTGCAGTAAGGCCACTTTGGCATCAGCAACATCTGCCATGGGAGCTACTAAGGTCCTGTATAAACAACAATATTAACCAAAGACAAATACACTGAAAAGTGTAAAAAAGACACAATCGAAAACAGGGAGTGCTACTGTGTGTGTGTGTGTGTGTGTGTGTGTGTACCCTGGGACTCTAAAATGTTGACTAAAGTATTCAGCAGCTCCAAGTCTCATGATGGCAGCAGCTCTGCCACCCTGCTTATCTGCTTTGTCCAAGAACGAAGACACAAACTCATACACGGGTCTGTAACTGCAAACAAAAACAAATAAATGAGCTGCCAACACATTTCATGTGAGAAAAATACCACTGGTTGAACTGCACAAACATGTGACCTTACTAAGACGGACTTGTAAAATAGTGGTGATGGCTCTGTACCTCAGGAATTAGTGAAGCTAATCTACTGGTCTTGATATGCTTTAGCGCTTTGATCCAGATGGAAATAAACTATATGGCCAAAAGTGTGTGAATGCTCCTGTCCTCATACTTGTGTTCTTTTGGTCTAGGCACCGGTCCTGCTAGGCCCCTTGCTTCCAGTTAAAGGTACCCTGTGGAGGTTCTGACCGCCACAAACACATGGGCTGGCACATTTCTCATCCTGCTTTTGGTTTCACACTATTTTGGTGGTTTAAAAAAAAAAGGGGGGGGGCAGCAAGGACAACACGCATCTACACGATTAGAAACTGTGATATGTGCATATATATTGTTGAGAAAAGCTTTCCCAGAAGAATGAGAGCCATTCTAGAAGCAGATTGAAGCGCATGGTTTTGGTACAATCCTGCACAGATAAGGATGGATCACAATGCTTTTAATGTATTTAAAGAAGAAAAACTAACAGCTTTCTCATATAAAAACATTGAGAGATCTTGTGAGATTGGGTGTTTTTTTTTTTCAACACTATGGACAGTTCTGCTCTGTAACTCACTCATAGATGACACACTGGTTGTTTGGTAGGTCCAGACCATATTCCTGAGGCATCTTTCCCATCAGGAAGGAGGAAAACAGTTGAGAGAGTTCTTGTCTGAAGCTCCGCAGCATCGTGTCTGAAGAGGAGGAAAACCAGTACAATGGCAGTAAAATAATGTGACAAGTGGTTCAAGTTTGAAGTTTCCCAAACATCGATGTGACCCTCGTGTCCACATTCAGTTTCCGCGCGAGTGCAAATACCCGCAAGTCGGAGGTGATGGTCTACTTCAGACAGAGAGAGGTTGAAAGTCTTCAGCCATCCTAGCAATGCTCCGTTTCGGATGTTGTTCCAGAAGTCGCTCCTTTTGTGGCTGTTGCAGTGACACACGCCACCCTGACACCACACAACACACTGAACACACACAGGAAAAACAGAATTCATTCGCATTAGTGCGGCTCTAAGTAACTAGTTATCTTGCTTTAACCATGTGCAACTCAAGCTTTGTTTGTGGTCAGAGCAGGGCTGTATCCAGCTAAGAATTTTGTTAGTCCACTCAGATTCGCCTGTTCAGTGAGACTATTCCTTCTTTTTGTTAAAAAGAAATGTGTAGCCTATACTGTCAGAAAATTAACTGGCATGAATTTCACTGATGATTTAGACCACTTTAACATTGGTATTCAAATGCAAAAGAGTGACAGGAACATATTTCTGAGAATTTAAAAACTATGACCTATTTAAATTGACAATATATAATGTCAGGCTGCCATATGGATTTGTCAGAATAACAAGACACACAGGATTTCTTCAAATTTCACACATTCCTACAGCATCTTCACAACATACAATCTGGACCGACATGCCAATAAACCACAACTTAACTGGCTGGTGGACTCATCCACCTGCCATGGCGGTAATTCTAGTTTTATATTTGAGATGTTTGTGCATCTGTGTGAATTATTCCAAACAACAAGTCAATGGGACTACATATAGCCACTCGTTTGGTAACTCAAGCAAGCTCATTCAACTTAACAGACAACATCAGGACATACCAAAGACGCCAGCTTGTCGCAGATGTAGCAGAAGCACTGATCACAAATGAGCTGGTTACTGGCCACAGGACCACTGACCTCATGATCTGTAGCCCTGAACAGGAGCAAAGAGAAGTTGTAAGATTTCTCCAAGTGAGAGGCACATACCACTGATTTGTATTAAACAAAGTGTGGCCATTAGCTCACATGAAAGGGTGTATGGGGCAGTCATAACGTGCATGAGGCAGCACCTCAGCGCGGCGGGAGAAGGTAACCACCAGGTCTTCATCCAGAGGACCTTGAGGTAACACAACATCTGAAACACAAAGCAGGAGCAGCTGGTAACTATCTACAACCTCTAATGTAACACATACAGTGGGTTTATAAATTAAATTGTTGTTACCATTCTTCTTCAAATCCTGCACTTCTACAATGAGGACTGAGGGTTCCTCATGTCCATCATCATCATCATCATCATCACTGAGGATGATAATTTCTCCAGTATCCACTGTCGTACACATCAGAAACTGCTATCGCAAAAAAGGAAACAAAAGCGAAAATGAGCTCACAAATGAACCCTCGAAATAGCCCCAGTCTATGTAAGATCACGGCCTGGTCTCTGAGGGAGTCGCACAACAAACCCTGCATGTTCTGTTCCTCATTTAAAACTTTAACGTTACGTGTTTGGCTGTCTGTTTGGTGGATTTTAGCGTTCGTGTTTAAAAAAATGCAAATGAAGAACAAATCATCGAATACCTAATAGTTAAAGGGCTGTTACCCTGAGTGTTAACTGTCCTAACCTGCCAAACCAAACCTATGTCTTTCTTTTTCAAAGCTAGTTTTTAGCTCTTAAACTCAGGAAACAGAAAGATGAGTACTTTACGTTTTCTAAAAAGTAGGTAAAAATGACTGTATTAAAACAAATGTAAGCGTTTTTTGTTTTTTAAGTCCTGAAAACAACACAAGCATATTACCTTTGCTGTCTGTCTAACCAAACTGTTTTTTTGGCGCTGGGTACTTAAAACTCCGCGTAACCGGATGTGACGATTCTCTTCTTCGTCGTCGTTTTTATTGGCGCCTGACAAACCAGCTTCTGTGTACTCCCGCCACCAACTGGACTGGACTAGAGCGACGGATACATATATGAAGTCAAATAAGTAAGAGAATAAATATAATATTCTCTGCTGTACCTGTTACTCTCAGTAGTGCTTAAGTTGCTATGTCACCTCTTAATTTATATATTTATATATCTTTACCCCACTTTAACGTTATTAGTAATAAAAGGAACACAAATTGCACAATGCTATATATATAAAGCTTTATTTCATTTGTTGTAGTTTCTAATTAATTTTAAATATCAAAATAAAGATTCAGTTTACTTCAGATTTATGGGCAGTTCTCCCATTTTTATATTTCCTTCTGTCCTTTTGTACCTAACGTATATGGCCTGTTTCCTCTTGTGCTGCTCTAATCCCGTTTCCCCTGGGGATCAACAAAAGCACTTTGTCGGAACTGTGACTGAGCATGAAACCACTTCTCAATAAAATGAGTATGTGAACAAGAAAGTGATATATTTGGATTTTTGAGTTTTCATACAGTCTGTCGTTAACATCCCAGTCAGTTCAAAAGCAACTTCTCTGCAAAAGTGTAAAAAACCTTAATTCATTATTCCATGTCACCTACAGTATATTGGTTTTAATCCCTCTTTAACAGCAACATATTTTCTTTTTGCAGAAAATTTTTGAGCAGTTATACAACTAATTACTATTTTTTCTTGTCTGTTGAAGCACAAGTGAACAAGATCAGGGTGAACTCTGCCTAAGCTGAATATAATGTATTGAGACATTAAGCCATTGTTGACTCTCCAAATTACAGAAAAATAGTGGATTCAAAAATATAATGCAGAAGGCAACCAAGGTGAGATTTCATTTCTCAAGAATCCTGTATTGAAACTTGGAATTTTCTTTAATTGCAATGTAAAGGACAACAGCATTGATCTTTTTTAAAATGAAAATGCAGGAGGTTATCTGACAGAAGGTCCATGTTACAAAGCATTACTTTGACCCAAAGTCAATCCAGTTTTCCACAGCTGAATGGAAACACACAAGCAGTGGATTAAGGAGATGAATCTGAGATTTTCAGGACTTCTGATACAGAGCTGATGCAGTGCTGCTCGTCTTGCCTTTCCTATGTGAATATCTCCTCGCTGCTGCTGCTGCTCTCTGGTTCATCTGGGCCTCCGTCGGCCCGTCTGCAGCTTCTGTGTTCAGCACTGCAGCAACCGCTTGAAGCTGCAGCCCTGCCTGTTCATCCTCAGCGCTCTGAGCAGGCATCTTACTCAGCCACTCCTGATAGTAACCACGGAAACCATCAATGTGGACCAGGTAGTTGTTTCTAGACTTGTACTGGGATTAAAAGAACAGGGAGTGGAATGGGAAGAAGGGGACAACATAAGAAAAGAAACTATTTAAGCAAAGTCTTTGAAGGTCTGGACAAGGTTTTAATGTATACTTTTGTTTATGATAGGGGATTCTTTTTGAAAACAACCACAATGACAGTGTTTTGTCTATCATTATATATTAAGCTATAACATTCAAGTAACTTCTCATAGTATCAAAAGTCATCATAGTGCAAGTGTCCTATAATACAAAGCAGTAGGTGGTAAAGGATTAAACAGCATCACTTGTAGTGGAAAGTCCTTTCACAGATATTAAAAACAAAGCACACAATGCATTAAATCATAGGAAACACACCTAGACCTTTTGACTCTCAAAGCAACAATACCGTTTTGGATTTGAAGAAAAGGGCTGAGAATTCTCATTAACCACTGGTACATTAAACATTTAGGAAATCTCTTTTGTTCATTCTGCATGTATGCTTACCTGGTTATAGTTGGGTGGGTACTGAGCAGCAAACTCCAGCTGTCTGATGATAATCTCATTAGGCCACACTCCCATATCCCTCATGCTTTTGAGGATTGTTTTCAGGTAAATGTAATCCAGTCTCCGACTGGCTCGGCCGATAAGAGCTGAGAACACCTGGACATTAGGCCTAAGTCCCACCTCCTACATGTAATACATGTAAAGATGACATCAACTCATAATATTGGTCTACTACTCCTAATTCAATAATTGTTGATACAGTCCCCATTAATGTTCAATATTATTGTTCATCTCTTAGTGCAGCCACTAGCCAGAACTTTCATTTTGTTGAACTTTTCACATTAACTTAAATCACAGTTGATGTTAATATCTATTCCTCTTCAAATACTGAAACCAACATTAGTGACTTCTAGCATGTGCGTCATCACCTCCATGTCTTTTAGCAGCTGCAGACCGTCTTTCTGTCGCTCACAGCCTAATGCGAGGCTTCCAAATGTCTGTACATCCATGCTTACATGATGTTGTGGCATCACGCTCAACACAGCCTGAGATGAGAAAATAGAGCAAAGAAACATAGGTACTGTAATTAAATAGTTATGACACCCAACTTACAAAGTATACATATCTTGCCATACACAGAGTTTAAGTTTAATTTACCATTCTTTTTGGAACTGTACAAAATTTAATTCAGCTCCATTGTATTGGGCTAAAGGTAACCAGAGCTATCTGCTTTTACCTCTAGATACAACTAGAAAAGATGTTTTTATAATATTCGGTGAAATGACCCTTTAATGCCACTGAACATAACTGCAGTTAAACTGAGAGTGGGTAGTGTGTGTGTGTATGTGTGTGTACCTTGGCCCCATCCAGATCACCAGCTCTGGCTGCTCTGCGAATCACAGAATTAAAGAAAGCGACGTCAAGCTTCACTTGATTCTGCTTGGCAACTTTTAACAACAGCTGCAGAGACTGGTAGCTTGGCTCCATTGTGTCTGCCAACAGGGTCAGAGTTCTGAGGTCTGGACGAAGCCCGTTAGACACCATCTTCTCCAGGAAACCTTCAGCTCCTCCAATCAGGGCGAGCCTATCAGATGGTCCATCCACAGTGCCGAGGGAGACCACAGCACTATTTCTACCCTCAAAAAGGTCCAGCAAGTTAGGGGCTGTAGAATTAATTGCTAAATCAACAGGCAGTGAGAGGCTTTCTGTTTTTCTAACTGGTACCAAATGGGTTGATTCTTGTCTACTGAAGAACTCAGTGTCTAGGTCTGCATTGTCTCTGTGTGGCTCAGGTTGGATAAACAACTGCCTCTCTAGAAGGTCAATATTTATTATATCCTTGCATCCGGACTCTGACTTAACATTTGACACACGTTCTCCCGCTTCCTGGCTCTCGCACTCAGGCCTCAGCAGAACTCTGGTGGCTAGGGCAGGGTCACCAGTCCCACAGTCCCTTGCAGTTCGCAAGAGCAGGTTATAGTTTTTTACGTCTGGAAGAATCCCTGATTTCAGCATCTGGCGCCAAACCTGAGCCAAAAACAGAAGGTTAAGACACCTACGGGCTTTGCCATAACAACAATCAAGTTCAAAAGATGTCACAGTTTGAGATCAGTCAGGGTATAATAAGGTTTGGCTTACAGCATGCTTCTCTCTTAAGGGTCAACAGCCCAAAATCTCAGTGTGAAGTCATCTTTACTTTCAAAAATGTCCCACATTAATGTAACCAGAGCCCCTAAGTCATGTACTGTATCTAGTACCTGAAGAGCCATTCTGAATCCTGTGGCTTTGTCCTTCAAACAGCCCATCAGCAGGTAATGAAACATCTCCTGAGTTGCAACATGTCCATTCTGTAGCATCTCCTACACAAACACATACAAACAAATAATTAGGGAGTGATGTAACACAGTTCACTGGACCAACTTTCTAGAACTGTAAGCATGCGTCGCACCCTGAAAGTGTGGATACAGGCTTGGAGGTGGTTGGTCATGGCGTGTGTCTTGAGAAGAGCGTGGTATGTGATGGTGCTGAGGGGGTAGTTTTTGCGATGGAGTTCTTGTTCCAACTTCAGTGCTTGTTGAAGACCAGCTTGTTTTGAAGGCGACTCAGCGCAGGCGTTGAACAGCGCAGTGTATGTTGCATCTATAGGAGTCAGACCTCGCTTCTTCATCTGGAAGACACACAATCACATTATTACTCAATCTGATGAGGCCAAAAGAGGTATATACAAATGCTAATTATTAATAGTAGCAAGTCTAAGTAAAAATTTGAACTATGACTGGAAACTAACATGTACAAAACAAATGTTAAATCTATTATCAAAATCACTACTGTAGTTGTAGACTTAAGTGTGAGATGTTTTTGAATTTCATAATTTTGTGTTCATGAAGGGAAAACTAAGGCTAAATGAGGCAAATTAAATTCTAACACAACTCATGTGTGTCAACATAATCATCACATTCATAAAAACTAGCTCACACCACTGCAGTATTTTTTTAGCTACTGTTTACACCTGAAATAACATTTGACATGTTAATGAAAATGTTAAGTGAACATATGGTGAACTGACAATAAAATCCTTGAATAAACATGTAAAGGGCTAATAAAAAAATATTCCTACATCATTGAAGAGTCTGAAGGCTTTTTTGAGTTGTCCGGCTCGACCACAGCCTCCTATCAGGATTGTGTAATTGTACTCCTCCGGCTGTAGCCTTTCCCCCTGCAGCATGTCTCTGCTGAACAAATCCAACGCCTCTTGAAGCTGTGAGGGTACAACATACGTTTATAAACACATGAAGGAGGGAGAAGAAGAAAGCACGATGGACATAGCCGTTAAATAAGACCGACCTTGTTGTTTTTGATCAACTTCTTGCACTGTAAGAAGTACCAGTACGGTGTGTTTCTTTTCCGGGGTCTCCAAAGGGTGTTTGCCGCGTCTTCTTCCTCACTGGCGTCGTCCTCTCGGTGTCGCAGGTCCTGGGTGTCAGGACTGCTTTTCCTGAACGACGTCCTGGAAGACATGTCAGTGGAAAGGGAGCCGAAATTCTCCCATTCTTCTGGGGCTGAGGAAGAGCTCGGAGGGTTCACATCCGCACGGAAAACAGCTGACTGGGATACCGAGCTGATCGTTGGTACCCGAGGCAGCTGCCAGGGTGTCGGTGTGAGGAACCTGGATGACCGGTGTGACAAATCCTGTACCCTAGTAAGATTCAGGGTTCTGGGGGTTGACAAGACCGGCAACTTAGCAACAGGGACCAAATTTTTTCTCCAGTTTCGCACGCACGAGCAGACGAGGGACGTTAACATTTTAACTGTTTTATCTAACTAACTACAAACTAACTAATCATGTCGAGCGTAGAAACCTAAAAGAACGATCCAACTTATTACACTGGTAGTTAACTAGTGAATGTAGCTACGTATATTCGAGCATGCTGTGCGCCATGATGCTTCAATGACACAAACCTAGCAAGACCTGATTAATAGATATTGAATGACAGATATCAAGCACCCCATTATGGCGATTTTGTCCCCGGGGAGAATTAACAGGACTGTAATTTGAATACAAATTCCACTGTTTATTACTGGGCTACATAACTTGCATAAAGGTTTATCCGTACTGACTAATATGGCATACTCCGATCCACTACATCGTTGTTCGATTGATATGCTTCTGTCATTGATAAACGCCATACATCTACGCGACTGCCCTCCACTGGTCATAAGTCAATTTTGCGCCAGAGAAAAAAATATTTAACTGGTTTGATTTTTAATGGCAATTGACACAGACTTTTCTGATACAAGCTGTAGCTTCAGTGGGCCTAATTTGAAGATAGAGAGATGCATCACTACTGCCAGTTTTTTTAGTGTTTGTTGTGAATCTAACAGATGACTAACAGATTCAACCATTTCCTCATGCAGTTAAATAGAATACACGTTATAACTGACATGGCCACACCAGGAGAGAAGCTTCTTCTGTCTTTTTTTTCTTTTAAACACACCAGAATCCTGGTTTTGAATCTTATCCTGGTTTTCATTATATTCGGGGACATGACAGTTCTAAGGAAACCTGAGCCCTAAGCCTGTTTTTAGGATTTTCCTCGAAAAAGGCATACCCAAAATGAAATGTGTATATCTCTGCAACCACAAGGTGTATTTGATTACCCTTTGTGTCAAAAGAAAGGGAACACCTGTGAGATTTGTCAGGAGGTGTAAATATCATTCTATGTTTTGTTGTTGAAGAGTAAATGAAGATGGCACACAGCACAAATTAGATTTTTCAGGTTTGCCTATGTTAGTGTTAGGTATTTTTAGTCAGATAGAAATTGGATAGATACTTTATGTATTAGAAATGTTTAGTGGAGATAGGATGTCTAGTTAGACTGTTAAATGCTTAGTCATGCTTATGAGTTTCTACAGGGTACATCTGGTCAAGGATAACTAGAGAGAAGAGTTGATGACTGTCAGCAGACAGGGTGTTTAATATTATTATTACAACGTGTATAACTGTAGCCTTAACCATAATATGTTCTTATGTTTAAGTCACGACATGTTACTAGAGGTCGTGAGAATGTTTTTAGTTACACACCACTTAATCAACAGACACACACACACACACACACACATTGATTTGCTTCATGTTTTGACTACTGCTATGACCAGCTGCAAAGCTGGTAACAGAGACGTCTCGGTTGACATTTCTGTGTAGTATGGGGCTAGCCCAACCGAGGGGATATAATGTACAGGCCTGGTGGGCTCAGGGTCTTTCATCTTACATCTGCCTGCGAGCAGTTTGGAGGTGCAAGATACTTGAGTGTGTAATGTTAATTTTACTTGTGATCCTTTGAATAAATCAGCACTGTTTTGAAGTTACTTGGACTGTCTCGTCTCTCAGAGTTAGCAATCGCAACAAGAACCATATCCTGCATAAGCAAGGAGAATAAATGTATTAAAATAACCAAAGCTCAGTAGTTCTGCATAATAATCAATACAGCTGTAATATGTATAATCAAGTAAGATAAAGTTATGAAAGGTAACTAAAAGGAACTAAAGGTATGAGAAGTAACTAAAGCTTATAAAGTAACTAGAGTCTACAAGACCCAAATCTTACACCTAAAAAAAAAGCATATTCATGCTGAGTATTCCCTTGTAATGATCCAGCTGCAGCTCTAAACCTCTATGAATCCAAAGTACAACATGTGATCATCACCAGGACCAAATATTATTCTAAAATAGTCAAGCAGGACAAAATTATAGAGGTTTTAGTACATGAAGTCCAGGCGAGGTGCTAAAATGGCACATTTTGGCACCACCTGTGCCATTTGAATTTTCTCATGTATAAAACTATACTACATTTCATTTGTGTATCAGTAATGTGTTCCAAACATCTAAATATAAAACAACTGGATTTTTTTCAAAACAGAACTTTACTGTGAAGGGATAAACCAGTTCTTGCTACCATTGCTAACTCTGAGAGACGAGACAGTCCAAGTAACTTCAAAACAGTGCTGATTTATTCAAAGGATCACAGGTAAAATTAACATTACACACTCAGGTATCTTGCACCTCCAACCTGCTCACAGGCAGATGTAAGATGAAAGACCCTGAACCCACCAGGCCTATACATTATATCTCCTCGGTTGGGCTAGCCCCATACTACACAGAAATGTCAACCGAGACGTCTCTGTTGCCAGCTTTGCAGCTGGTCATAGCAGTAGTCAAAACATGAAGCAAATCAATGTGTGAATGTGTGTGTCTGTTGATTAAGTGGTGTGTAGCTAAAAACATTCTCACAGACTACACACACTATTTACACTATTGTCCATGTATATGGCAATGTTACTTCCCTTCATGCCACAGCTTGAAGCAGTTTTTGTTTTTAGTGAGGCAGAGGGGAACCCCACACTTTGTACAATATAGAGATGTCTTTACACGCCTGATTCCAGCCTTGGTACACCTGACACAGAACTTCCTGGGCTGTCCTTCCCCTTCAAAGAAAGCAGGAAGGCAAGTGGTGGGGGTGGGGGTAGCTGCTGATTCTCCAGCAACCATCAGCATCTCTTTGGCCAGCTGTTCTCTGAATTGTTTTTGGGTGTAGGGCTTTGGCTGGGTGCTGTCCTGTCGGTACTTGTACAGCTCCTTGTGTAGGAGGAAGCTGTTCACCACAGCAATGTCAACAAAGTGGTAGAAAAACGTTTTGTACCACTTTGTTGTCTTGTGATGAACGCTGTAACACCCAACAAGTTGATCTGACAAATCCACACCACCCATGTACTTGTTGTAGTCCACAATACAGTCTGGAACAGGTACCTGCTTGTTATTCCAGACCCCAGCCTCCTTCACTTTTCTCTTTACAGTCTTTCCAGTGAAGGCCTTATGGATTGTGGAGCACATTGAAACAGGTCTTGTGTCCGTCCAGTTGACAAACAGAAGGTCGCCACTACGAATCCAGCGAAGGTCTCCCCTCTGGGCCTTTTTGGGCAGGTCATTGGTCTCGGTCTTTGGGAAGCCAATGCAATATTTTCTGATTGTGCCACAACAGCCAATGTTCTTCTTGGCCAAGTCAGAAAAGAGAGCTGGACTGGTGTAAAAATTGTCTGTGTACAAATGATATCCACTACCCATAAAAGAAAAAGGGAGGAGGTCCATCACGGCAGAGTAACCGAGACCATGGCCTGAGACTGACTTGCTTTTTCCTGTGTCTACAAAAAAGTTCCATGTGTAGCCTGTTGTTGAATCAGCAAGTACATAAAGTTTGTATCCCCACTTTGTTGGTTTATCCTTTATGTAGTGCTTCATGCTGATGCACGCTTTGGAGGCGACCATCCGCTCATCAATTGACACATGCTGGTAGGGCTGGAAGTACGCTTTGCAGGCATCCACCATCTCAGTGTACAAAGGCTTGATTTTGAAAAGTCTGTCATAGGCCGGTGAGTTCCTCTTCTTCTCATTTTCTTCATCTTCTGCTGGGCTGCTGAGATGAAGAGACCAGAGAATTGCCTCAAACCGGTCCCGTGACATCTTTTCCCTGGGGAAGGAGAAGTTATATGGCCATTGTTTCCTCCAGTAATCTGACCTGTGATGGACTGTCACAAGGCCAGTGAAAATAACAATGGCCAAAAATGTATAGAAGTCCTTCACTGTCAGGATGGTCCACTTGAAAACCACCCCAGCAGCTTGTCTTCTGGCTGCATTGGCGTTTGTGTTTTGAACAATTTTTCTGACAACTGCAGCAGAAAAAAACAGTTGAAAAAGGCCAAGTGGGGACCAAGACTGGGTGGTGTCAAATGCTGGGCCGGGTTTTCTAGTTGGAATGAACCGATAAGGGACAGGCTGGACATCCTCTTCCTCTCTGTTATGCCACCTGTCCTCCTCACCGGCAGGTCCAGCTTCACTGATAATAAAAAAGCAAATATAGTCACAAATCACAAAAAGCCAAACACTTGGTGCTGAAGTCAGATTTAGTTTCTACTAACTTTGATTTGTATAGCTCCTGGTTGGAGACAGAGGCTCACACATTCATCTAATCAGACAGGACAGTCTATTTGCACTGTAGCAATGGCTAGCTGACCAATTTACATACACACATCAACGCTGATAGCCCACCCCAGGATGCTCATCAGGCCATGATTTGTATCACACAACCCAGGCCAGGCCTCAAACCAAGTGTTCTGAGAGCCTGCATTCTTCAACATGAGACACACATACACACCAGTAAGATCTTTACCAACCTGCATTGTGCAGCAGTAGATTTTCTTCCTCTTTTCCTCCCTTCTGGCTGCCTGGTCCTGGAAGGTCCAGGTTCACTATCTTCACTGTAAACCCACATGTGGAAAAAAACAGATGCATTCACTGAGTGGCCTGGTTGTGAAATTGCAATTGCAAACCTGGTTCTGAAATATTTTTGTTGTGTGTTTTTGTGTGTGTATATATACTCTTTCTGTAGTCATTGCTACTGCATTCCCGATTGCCTCTCAATATCTGCCTGGTTTAGGGGCTTGGAACTTGTTCGTGTTATGCGTTATCTGTTCCATGGCTGCTGGAGCTAGTGCGTTTCCCCACTGTGGGGTCAATAGGGTCCTATATATATATATA